TAGCTTCATTAACAAAAGGAATTGAAAGATCATTAATATTAATGTCAATATTTTGACATAGGTGTTCAACCTTCTTCTCATTACCAAATAGCAACACAACACTTTTTGAAGGATTTAACTTTAAAGAATGAGCAACCGAAAATGTATTCAAACTACTTAGGTCCTCATTAACCTTTGCCATAGCAGTAATAAATTCTTCTCGGGCAAAATGCAAATATACTTGTGTGTCATCCGCATACATTTGTATCTGACAATTTTTAACACATTTAGGCATAAAAGCAGTGTATATGCAAAATAATAAGGGTCCTAAAATGGAGCCCTGCGGCACACCTCTAGTTATATTCATAAAGTCTGAAACCTCAGTGACCTCGCCTCCCACTCGCACTAACTGTCGCCGATTCTGAAGATAAGATTGCATGAAACTTAAAAAATCATTACTACAACCTATATTCCGTAATATAGCTAACAAAATAGAATGGTTGACTGTGTCAAAAGCCTTACTAAAGTCCAAAAGCACTAATATAGTGAATTTATTATCATCCCTAGCCCTTATTATATCATCAGTAACATTTAATAAGGTAGTGGCACAACTGCGACCAGGCATAAAGCCCGACTGTCCATCAGGCAGAATGTTATATTCAATTAAAAATTCTCTAAGCTGCTTATTAACAATTTTTTCTAAGACTTTACTCAACGTTGGTAATATACTAATAGGGCGCAGATCTTTAAACTCAGTAGGCGAGGTCACCTTAGGTAAAGGCAGTACAATCGCAGACCTCCACAACTTAGGAAAATAAGCACTAGCAATGCAACTATTTATAATATGAGTAATATGAGGTAGAAGTTGAGGAACCACCAGTTTCAACATAGAAACAGATACCCGATCATATAATGAGTTAAAAATTCCCATCATCAGCCGAAGCTATATATATATATAAAAATGGTTAGTGATAATCAAATAAATATAAACGTGAACTTACTGGCAATAAAACTATTTTGGAAACTTTTTTCTTGTTAAATAAAAATCAATCATAAAAATTTACTAAAACAATTTTCTTCGAATCTTTTCTAACTATCATAATAAAAACAACGATAAATTGAAGGAAAGTGGGGTCTACTCTATTGCATGTTCTGAGTGTGAATGTATTTATGTTGGACAAACAGGAAGAAAGCTTGAAAAGCGAATTCAAGAACATAAAACTAAAGAAAACTCAAACGTTTATAAACACGTAGCAGAAACAAAACATAAAATAGATTATGAAAATGTGAATCTTATTCATAAATGCGAAAAAGGCTTTAAGCTTGATTTATTATTAACTCAAATTACTTAATGAACAAATTCAATTGCAACATAAACCTCTTTACATGTATTTAAAAGACATAATATCATAATACCAGCTCAACCAAGCAAGTTCTTCCTCTTTCAAATATTTCATTACCTCTTTGTATTCCGAAATACAACCAGTCGGTTCTTCATAATGATCAAGTGTAAAACTAATAACATCTATAACAAACTTTTTAACGTGTTCGTGACTCGTTTATATGTAGATATGTCATTTACATTTTAAGATATATGTGTACATTCGTCGTTTTAAAGAAAAATTTTAATGATTGATTTTTATTTAACAACAAAAAAGTTTCCAAAATAGTTTTATTGACAGTAAGTTCACGTTTATATTTATATGATTATCACTAACCATTTTTATATATATACAGTGTGTCCCAGGATAGATATTACAAGAGGTATAATGACTTAAAAATGTTTAAATTTTATTTTAAGGCTGAGAAATTAAGTACTTACTGCTTAGTGTGGAAAGAATTTTAAGTATATTTTCATATTTTGAAAATAAACTCGACTAAAACTGAGGGATAATACAATTTATTTGTCAATATTTGCGACTACTTAAGTCATTTTTTTCAGAAAGATCTACCTACATTGCTTAAACCACCATATTTTAGATTAGATCAGAGTGAAGAAAAAAAAAACAATGAAAAATGCCATGAAAAAAAAAATGACTTAAGTTGTTGCAAATATTGACAAATAAATTGTATTATCCCTCAGTTTTAGTTCACATTTCAATTACTATACAATATTTATGCTATTTAAACTAAAATATGATGATTCAACCAAAGTAGACAGATCCTTCTAAAATTTTGTATACACTGAGGGAAATTATTCTTGACTCTCAAGAAAAATTGATTCTTGCATGTATTTCTTAGAAACAACTCTTAAACTAAATTAATATTTCTACTCTTAAAACAAAAACATTTTTTGTTTTAAGAATAGAAATATTATCGAATGAAGTATGTCATATTCTTAGCATCGAAGAATATCAATTTTTTGTATCAAAAAATCCATTCTTGCGTCAATAATTATTTATAATATTCAAATGAAAAATTATACAAGATTGTTGTTACATGAATAAGTTTTTCTAAAAAGAAAGATACATTATTCTTGACTTAAGAAATCTATTCTCGATACGAAAATAGGGTTGTTGACGTAACAGTAAGATACTCTTTTTCAAGATTATCGATTTACTTTTACTAAGAATTCGTTTTCTTGAGAATCAAGAATATTTGTATACTTGCTTTGAGAATATGTGGTTTTTCTTCACTCAACAAAATGATCTTCTGGTGGATATAATAAGAATATGATAAGCTTGAGCCAAGAGTAATAATCTTCGTTTAAGAATATATTTCTCTCTGTGTAGGACCATAATTTCTCATTTTGAACAACTTTTCTTAATAAAATTTTTCCGTATCATGAACAAAAAGACTTTACCTAAACTAAAAATAGTTTTCGATTCGTTATCAAGGCCGCCTTTGTTTTCAAAATATGAAAATATTCTTAAGATTCTCTTCACACCAAGCAGGGCTTAATTCCTCAGCCTTAAAATAAATGTCAAAAATTTTTTAACTCATTATACGTCTTGTAACATCTATCCTGGGACACACTGTATATAGCTTCTGAAAAGGCTGATGATGGGAGACTGAATTTTTCCCGAAACTGGTACCGTTAAAATAAATTATAAAAAAAGCAAGTAAGAAGTTTCATTTTCCATTTTCAAAACTTTTTATCTTTATTACTTCGTACATTTTATATTTTTCAAATCTTTTAAGCATTTCTTGTTACCTTCTACGTTTCCACTTTCCATACGAATTCTAGTTTTCCACTTTCATATTCATTTCTCGCCCCAATTTCTCTGCTATTTCTCTATCTCTCAATTTATACGTTTTGATCGTATGATTTACCGTTTTTTTTTCTGTGTGTGATTTTGTTGTTTGCATTGTTCTCGCTCATTACCAATTTCTGGTCCTCTTCTTACTCTTGCATCTTTTATATCCTGCTTGTATTTGCTTTCTATTAGTATGTAATCGATTATTGATTTTTCGTTTCTGTTTTGTACTTCCTTTGTAAATTTATGAATTTCTCTGGGTGGCTAAAATGTATTTGTTATCATTAAATTATTCCGAAGATAAAAGTCCATGTTTTCTCATAAACGTTTTATATTTCTCATTATATATTTCAAGTTCAAAGTTTTTGATGAATATAACTTTGTCTTTGAGATAAACATGTAAAATGGTGATGTTTCGTAGCAGAGCATGCGTAGATTATGCGTTAGTTCGACACAAATATTTTTAGGGATTCTTCGGGGTGTATTCATACAAAGATATGGGTTAAGCAAAGATTATGTCAGTGGAAATTAATGGCATAGAGGAATTCTGTCAGTATTACAATCATCTACAAAATGCTAATATCGGTGGTTACATAGTAAATGATCTCGTAACTTAAATTCAAGTTCACAAGATAATAGCTGACGTCAATAAGCAGCTGGGAAGCGTTTCATAAGTTTTGACATCAAATAATCAATATTATGTTATTAGAGATTGCGCACTTTATTTGATCTTTAGAAGTCTATAATTATTTACATTGTTGAAATTACAAACTACATTTATGTATTATTTTTATGTTAAATATTGCATTATAATTCATTAAAATATTCATCGATTTACATAATGTTTAAAATCATTATCGTTTATTTTCCTTAACTCAACGTTATTTCTCTAAAAGAAGTTTTATTTGAAGAGATACGAAGTTTACGGAGGCCTAAAGTTGGGGGTACTGGAGATGAGAACTTCTTTATGGTCTGTAATGATAATTAAGGTTCGAGAAAATTACCTTTCATTAGTGGTTATATTTTGTCCTACGACTTCGAGATAACTTTTACGATTACGAAATGAAATTTTCTCTCGAAACTTCTCCATAGATTTTTTTGTTTTAATCTAATCTTTTATACCCATAATGTTAAAATGAAAATTAATAGAAAATTTTTGATAGATTTTCTCGTTTATATGGAGGTTTAAAATTTTTTTAAGGAACTAGTTTCGGGTTTCACGGTTATTTGTACACGGAAGTGTCGCCGAACATTTCAGTTTTAAAGCCCGGGAGATCTTTACCTTTGTAAGGCCATGAAAAATGTATAGCGTACGTAATCTCCAGGGCGGTTGCACTGCCCTCTGGGTTGAAGATATTGGAAGAAAAACCGGCGGACCTTCGGTAAAGGCCGACACGAACTTTTAGCGGCTATTTTCTGGTCTAGATTTCCTCTTTCAACGTGTCGCCGCATGAATTATTCATGGTGCAAGTGTACGGAAACTTCCCCGTGGGCAAAACGTTTCTTTTACGTCCGAATAGATACAATATTCTACAATATCCTCTTTTAAAATTACCTTAAAATTTAATAAATTTATAACAAAAAATGTTAAAAGATTAATGTAGCATTCTTTGTAAAAGTATAAATCTTTTAAATTGATGGGATGATGTAGGACATAAAGGAACAAATACTTTCCTGAAAAGAACGAACTAATGATGCCACTAGGAATTTGAACCTACCGTTTGCGGAGATTTAAAATGTTCAAAGAGCCTTTATGGGAATAGATAATGTATTATTCTTTTTGGGTTCTACTAATGTTAAAATGTTTTTTTTTCAATCTCTTACCTCAATAGCTGGATTCAATTTATGCTTCAACTTCCCCCTGGGTTTATATTTCACCATCTCCCTTCCCGCTGGTGAAGCAAACAAATTGGCCAGATCCGTACTCTGGAAAATGTAAACCCGTTTAATCAAGTAAACTACATTATTTAACTTTATTAAAATTTCGTTAACAACTATTGCAATTAACTTTCTGTTTCATTATGAATACACCTAAGTCCGCTTTTTGTTTTTGTTTTTGGCGAATACAATGCCATCTTGGCGTGAATTTCTAACTTTACCAAGCTCGCTAATAGTAATGTTTGTTAGCGAACTTCACCCATTTCCTGAATGAAACAACTTTAGGTTTTGGGATCGGCGGTAAGCTTAGGATGTTCTGCCTTCGAGGATGTACGACGGCAAAACGAGTAAATATTCCATTATATCCTTCATTATTAAAGTCGTTTGCTTCGTGAATATTAAAGCGGATTTTTTTTCTTTTCGGGGATTTATTTACACCGAGTTATTAAATTTTCCAACTCACTCTGCGTGTAGATTTTAATAAGGTTTTAAAGAGATTAAAGTAGTTAAAAATGTTAATTTAATTTAATAACTTGGATTTACATAAATATCAAAATATTCACAAAATACTTTTAAAAATGAGAATATAAAAAACTTACCTCCGATTTTGTATTTGTCTCGAGGAAATATATATCTTTGTGTGCGTATCCAATTATTTCGCCTTTCATGGCTGCAACAAAAATAAAATACAACAAATTAGACTGGAAATAATTATACCGGTTTCGAACACGGTATACAGATATCGTTGATTAAGACATGCAACAGATTTCTGAGGTTTCAAGTTTTCCAAGTTATTGTTGGTTTCGTCATGGAGACAAGTTGGACAAGTTTAACATCGTTATTACGGGTGTTTCTTAACGGGTTGAAACAAACGTTAACGAGGATTTCGCTTCATGATTGCCTTCATACACGACTGAAACTGCAAAATAAACTAGCGGATCAAAGTTAATGATCTCTGAAAAGACCTAGTCCCCAGCACATATAAAATATAATCTACAACGTGACAATATACTATAGTTTCAACCGAGAAAAAGACAGAGAGATTTAATCAAAACGCTATTTAATAATGTAATGATTTATCTAAGTAAATTTATTAATAAAGTAAGAAGATAAAAATTGACGTTATATCAAGTAACAGAAAAACGATTAACGAATATAAAACATATAGAGATGTCAGCATCGTCATCAACGCAGAAACTGTAAATAAATATATGAAATCTGAAATGGTAGGAATCATGACCTATGATGAAGTGTCTGGGGAAAAAGCTCCAATTGTTGCGATATAAACGATGTTTAAAAACTTGGAGGTGGTAAAACGATCGGTAATTGGTGATAAATGTTCTAAGAGCGAATAAAGATACGGGTAGCAAAAGCCTCTTTTTAATGCAACAAACCGTTTTGAAAAATCACTTTCAGTTCTTGAGAAATAAATTTTTGAAATGATCCACCATTTTTTCGAATTTTGCAATTTTCGTCGATTAAAGTTTTAAAAATTCGTATAAAATCCAGTTCTTGAAATATGAATATGAAAATTATCCAAAGTGTTAATAAGAGTGTCCTCTTTCCAATGAACCAACACGTTTTGAAAAATAACTTTTAGTTTTTGAGAAAACAATATTTGAAGATTTGATAAAATTTTCGTGTCTTTTCTTTATTTTTCTCTTTGTTTTTCTTTTTCTTGCTTAATCTTATTTGATGATGTTAATAATATCTAGTTATCACTACTTGCCATATTCAGTAAATATTATTTTTATTTTTGTTTGTTCTGTTGGGTCATTTGGCAGAGATCGGTTGTGCGATAAAATGATCCATTTGCTGATACTGCTTACTGTTGAAGTTAAGTGTATCTTGTGTAAAATAAAAAGTTTAGTCTCCTTTCTTCCCAACCAAGCTACATTTTAGGTTTGTAACTTCTTTATTTTAAAGTTTAACTTTATTTTAATGCGTTTTTCATTTTTTTTTAATATTACATAAGGTTTTAATAGTTCTGATTTTGTTTGTTTTTAATATGTTCGTGAATAATATGATGTTTTCCTCGACTTTTACTGTTCAAGTCTCGAAATTTGACCGTAAGTTCTTGCCATTTATATATTTTTATTTTTGTTTTGTGTTTTTCAATTTTCTTTAATTCATTGTGATGCTATTTTTCGTGTTAATACAAGAAATCGTTGTAATTTCATGTACAGTTTTCAACTGATGATGAGAGAACACTCTCGAAACTAGTTTTGAAATAAAATACTACAAGCAAGAGTGAAGTAAACTTTTTCTTTTATTGAAATGACTTGCAACATGGATTCCCACCATTATGTTGTGTAAAGATAACCTCAAGAAATGATTTTTCTTTACTTTACATAAAATTCATCTTTTCTCTTAACATTTGTTGCAATAAATATTGAATTTATTTATGTTTTAATATTGAAGAATTTTCAAGGTTTTCTGATTTTAATACTATTATAGGTAATAAATTAAAAACTGAAAGTGATGGAGTGAAATAATTTTGATAAAAAACATTAATAATCAAAATTTTCTATGTTGCAATTTTCATCGATAATTTTCAAAATTCGCTATAAAATTCATTTCTTGAAGGATCTTTGTGGAAATATTACCAATTATTAATTAAAGTATCCTCTTTTTAATGCAAAAAGTCATTTCGAGAAATCACTTAGTTCTTGAGAAATAAATTTTTGAAATAATCGAAAATTTTTTCGAATTTTGCAATTTTCGCCGATTAAGTTTTAAAAATTCGTACAAAATCCAGTTCTTGGAATATGAGTATAAAAATTTCCCAAAGTGTCAATAAAAGTGTCCTTTTTCCACTGAACCAACCCATTTTGAAAAATAATTTTAGTGTTTGAGAATACAATATTTGAAGTTTTGATAAAATTTTCGATGTTGCAATTTTCATCCATAACTTTCAAAATTCGCTATAAAATTAATTTCTTGAATAATTCTTGTGAAAATATTACCAATTATTAATTAAAGTATCCTCTTTTTAATGCAAAAAGCCGTTTTAAACATCACTTTTAGTTCTTGAGAAATAAATTTTCGAAATAACCGACAATTTCTTCGAATTTTGCAATTTCCGCCGATTAAGTTTTAAAAATTCGTATAAAATCCATTCCATAAAATATGAGTATGAAAATTTCCTAAAGTGTTAAAAAAAGTGTCCCCTTTCCAATAAACTAACACATTTTGAAAAATAACTTTTAGTTTTTGAGAAAACAATATTTGAAGATGTGATAAAATTTTCGATGTTGTAATTTTCATCGATAATTTTCAAAATTCGTTATAAAATTCAATTCTTGAAGGATCCTTGTGGAAATATTACCAAATATTAATTAAAGTATCCTCTTTTTAGAGTTGCTTCGTGAGTTAAATCAGCATCAAAAAAGTTCATTTTGTATCTTGGATCCAAATAAGTTGACATATCTTATCAGCTTTCTTATTAATTTCATTTTTATTCAAATATCGCAATAATGTGGCAATGTAGGGTATCACTTCAGAAATGCATCAGAAGTTATAGCCATAATGGCCGGATAGATATGCCGGATAACCGGATATCTGGCCGAAGGGCATGCCGAATATCCGGTAATATTATTGTAGGTATTGATTAAGCAACGCAAGTTGTTTTTTGTCATTCATTCATCTAGTAAGCTTCCTCTTGTATTGGTTTAAGTGTCTTCAACCACAACATTTCTTCTAAATTTAGTATCACTAAATTTCTTTTTTAAATTTTTGTGGCTTTCATCCTTGAGTAAGCTTTTATTCCACTCTTTCTCTTAGTTTCACTTTGCCTCCCAGTCCCTCATCTGCCCCGATTTGTTTCCATGTTTCTCCTTTCCTATCTCTATTTTGGTCGTCTATTTCCTTCACTTCATTTAGTATTTCACCTTCTTCTATGCCTTTCTCTTGAGTTCATTCTCTATTCATTTTGTATTCTTTTTGCTTTTGTACCAGGAACTTTATTCAGGTTTATTGATTCAGGTTTTATGTTTTTATCTCTCTTCTCTCCTGTATCTAGTATGACGATAGTCCAGTTATCTTTTCTCTTTTTTTCGTAGCTTTTATTAGCACTCTTTCATCCTTTTTTCTTGTTATTACCTCTACCCTTTCTGTCTTTTTTCTCAATTTAATTTGTTTCTTGATTCTTCTTATCACTTCTTTATAAGTCTCTCCTTGTTTCGCTACGATGTATATTTTTCTTCGATCTAGCCTAGCGTTTTAGTCGCTGTTGTAAATATATCTATGTTTATGTTTTTGAAAGCAATTCAACCATTTTTCTTAGTCCTTCCTATGAGTGTTATTTTAAATAGTGTATAGTAAACTTTTCTTCTGTGATGCTTTTTCCTTCATGGCTTCAAAACTTCAACTAGTAGTTTAAATTTTGTTTAAATTGATTGCTGCCAAAGCGGATTTCCCTCTACAATATTTATTCGATTTTAGTGTTTTTCTTTAAGTTCTTTATTGTATTATTCTTTATTATATAACAGTCTTCGTATTTACCCGCACATCTTTACCTTTCCTTTCTCGGTTACTATTTGTGTTTCTTCACTTCATATTTATTCTTCCATTTCTGCTCGTTCTATAATTTTCTCTAATCATTGTAGTTCTCCCACAGCATCTTTTAGTTCTCCTTTTGTTTTATGTTCTAAATTTTTCTTAGTATTATTATTAGTTCCAATATTTTAGTTATTTCTAGTCGCTAAGCTTATTCGTTGCCATGCATAACGCTGCCTTCGTTTTGTGTTTGGTCATCTTTCTCTCCACCTTGTTCTTTTCTAAAATCTTTGCCCTCTTCATTAACTCTGACTGTTTGATACCCCTTCTTTTGAAATCCAACCCAATTCTACACATAATCGTCTGAGGATTGATGCATTCCCTGACCTTATCTTCCAGTTGCTTCCCTAGATAGGGTCGAAATATAACTTGACTCTATTGCAGTTAAATCATTTCTGCTATAATTTTTTGATTAAGTTCAACTATCTCACTTTAATATAAGTATTCAACCTTTTTTATATCTACCTCTTCACCATAGGGCTTCTCATCACATATTGCTTGGTAAGCCTTGGAGTCACCTATTTAAGGCAGTGAACATATTCAGATCACCTGCTCCAGAAAAATTATCATAACGACCCTTTCTATGATTTTTTCACTGATTTCCATAGCCTGATCTCTTAAGGTTTTCATTTAGATATGAACACAAACATTTGGACAAAATGTCATCATCGACAACGCTTTTATGATGACCAGAAACGCAATTAGCCATCACTTATAAAAGCAAAGTGCCAAATTGTTTCTTAAAACAAGATAAAACTAGTATTTATTATAGAATAAAACAGCCGCTAGTTCGTCTAAAAATTGTTCAGTACTTATGATGAAAAACGAAAATAAGATAGCTATCGAAAAACTGCTCGATAAGTAACTTGAACTAATTATGTGAAGCATAACTATGCAAAACTGGAACCCGGTTGGTCCACTTTACAATGAAGTGACGTGTCTTCCTTAGACGTCTTCGTTCTTTTGATACCTATGTCAGGAGTTTCAATCTCCTGCGTTGAATACTAGTATCGATATTTGCAGCAATTTTGCATGGTATGGTGGTTCGTCTACAGAGCTGTAAAGATAACGTTGTCCACGTGGGATGATATCTTTCATTTTTTGTACTGAATC